GTGATGAACATGACAAAAGGCATGCCAATACAATTTCATAATTTGGCAAAACTTATAATAATGACAGTTTAATACCTTGTAACAATGACTTATGAAGTACATTTCTTCATGATAGTAACTACTGCATGAACACATTATGCAGTAATAGACAAGCAGGTGTATAAATGCAATTGAAACAATTACAGGGGAAATTGGACTTATCTCTTTTGAAAGGGGGAGGTGCACTAAGGGCATCGTCATCATCAAAATATAATTCAGGTCTTTTAGATTTTATAAATGAAGTATTGCAACAGTAGGTGATTTTAGCTTTAAAATAATCATTATATTTTAATGAAATCAGGTCGTTGGTTTTCTCGTTTGTATTAGCTTACCTTTTGTCATGTCAGGCCCATCTTTTAAAGCTTACTTTACAAATCAGCTTTTGCTTATTGTTGAAGGACATATGGTGACATTAACAGTTTTAACAGACCTGGCCTGTGTTTCACAAAAAATCTTATGACTTACGATCTTTAAACCAGGGCCTTAACTGATCTGGCCATTAAATACCCCTGGTATTTCTGGTCTACCTATAACTTAAATGCAATTCAAGATTGAAATGTCAGCAGTCAACCCAGTGAACTAAGGCAGTTTTGAATTTACTAATAAGTTACTGTAGATTAGTTAATATTTGTGGGATACAAACTTTACGTGAATTACATGGGTATAGGTGTACTATGAATTTAAATGTTCAATGAAGCACTTATTTTCTATAGACTTATTTGGATACTTTGGCAAAACCATTTATATTAAATATTAAAGAATATACAATATTTCCTCAAACCATGAAAATTAGAATCACAAAACTAAATGAATCCACAGTAATAACAAAATAACCAAAAACTTCAGTAAAAGTCATCAAACTGATTTATCATTTGTATGATAACGGAAGAACTTCCCAATTTATCCCTCATTTTTATATTCCCTAAATGTAAATGAATTATTGGATATTAAACGCATACAATTATGATCTTTATATCTTCTGAAAGGTTAACCTGCCCCTTGATATTATTTTAACATTCACAGAAAAAAAGTTCTGGGTTTTTCTTGAAACACAAAATTAGCTGCTATCATAGCTGTAATAACATTTCCTCCTGTAGATCTATTAATTTACAATAAAACAGAAATTTTATAACTTTATACAAAACTGGAGTTATGTTTAAGCAGTAGAGATATGATCATGGATGGCGCTGTTATAATATAAAAATAATTGTGAGATTGGAATAGAAGATTATAACAAATTATAGAAATACTGTGAACTATTTTTATGCTGAGGAAAACTATTATAATTAGACCAGGACCTGTGGTCATAAAACTTTACTCTTTGTGCTTGGAGTACAAAAATGTGTGCTTGAAACACCAAATCCAGAGTCTGAGTACGATAACTGACTTCCATTTTTATGACTGCAAGGCCAGAAGATAACATTGACTTTTTTGTGTCGTTGGGTTGATGTCTTGAAGTCTCTTTTTATTCTTACTGAAAGTTATTTCCAGAAGATAAAAGTGTATAAATTTTTTCCACTAGTTAAATTTCATTAGATTGTAGAATAAATTCCAGATATATAGATAAAACTTGAAGAAAGCGAGATTCTAGGACTAATATAAATTAGTTCAAGGAAGAGATCTTCAAGGACTGATATATCAATATATATTTTGGAAGAAGAAGTCTACTAGGAATTGTCTGTATTAGAAATATCAACTTTATCAATAATAATTTCATCTTTCTGTTATGTCAGTATGAAAAGATCTATAATAATTTATTGTAAAGTAAGAAATACTTACCGGTAGATTTAATACACTACTTCTGACCAGTTGATATTTGAATTTAGTAATTAACTGATATTATCTAAGTAAAATTACTTACATAAATGTCTGGAGATCTAGAAACCTTGTGCGGCAATAGTATAATAACTTACTTTAACAGACAAAACATTATAACTAAAAAGTTAACGTAAAATATTTAACGTTTTGTGTGATTTTCTTAATGACTTCCTGTACGTGCGGAGATGTTATCTGGACAAGATTATTTCATAACTTAAAAAAGCAAACCAGCACAATAACACCAGCTCGTAAGATGGCTGACGAATATTGCATTTTAGGGGAGGATGTTAAAAAATTCGTCCGACAGAGAAGTATTAGTGGTAGTAGTAGTAAGTCGTCCAAAGGGTCTTCGCAAACCCAGATTAATACACAACGACCTCTGATAAAAAGAGTACCGCTAGCGTTGACCCTGTCTCATTGGGATTCTATAGATCACACCTGTAAGCCTGTAATTGGCAGTGGTAAGACAATTTCAATGATGATCAACTCATAAAGTTTACAGTTTATTAGATTTTACCCGATGCTGATCTTTTTTATTTGGGGAAAAAATCAACAAAAGCAGAAACTTTTTCCAACCACATTTCTTTTGAAGTTAAATTTTGAAATGGAAATCAAACAGGGTTCATTGATAGGTATATAATAAATTTCCCCCTTTTGTCCTCTTTTTGTGATCTCACACAAGGAAAAAATATTTTTTTGAAACAATATTTCCTTGGTTATATATAAAGATTCTTGAAAAAATAAGGAAAAATAGAAATAAATGGGAAAATTGTATTTTTGAGCAAAAAATTGTGAAGTTTCTTGACTTTTGAGTATATTTCAGCTTCTACAAAAGAAAAGCTGTTCAGGACTTTGGACTTCCTTTCTACACTTTATATTTTTACAAATAGATTTTGGGCATTTATGGTTAGACTTCACTTATATATAATGTTTGTATACATGTCTGCAGATAAAAAAACAAATATTTTTTAATTCAGTAGGAATTATAGTAAATCTGGGTCTATATTTTAGACTCTGAAGGATTTAGATCTTGGTCTTTTTTTTAAGACGCTGGAGGATTTAGGTCTTGGTTTATTCTTTAGAGTCTGGAGGATTTACATCTTGGTCTAGCTATTTTATGGACACTGGAGGATTTAGGCCTTATTGGTCTATTTTTTTTGACTTTGGAGGATTTAGGTCTTGGTCTATTTTATGGACTCTTGAAATTAAGGTCTTTATTTTGTCTTTTTTTTTCGACTCTGGAAGATTTAGGTCATTAATGGTCTATTTTTTAGACTCTGAAAGATTTAGATCTTGGTCTATTTTTTATAGTCTAGAGTATTTAGATCTTGGTCTATTTTTTAGACTCTGGAGGATTTAGATTTTGGTCTATTTTTTTAGACTGGGTGATTTAGACTTTGGTCTATTTGGTAGACTCTGGAGGATTTAGGTCTTGGTCTATTTTTTTTGAGTTTGGTAGATTTACATCTTGGTCTATTTTATGGATTCAGGAGGATTAGGATTTAGGCCTTGGCCTATTTTTTTAGAATCTGGAGGATTTAGGTCTAGGTCTATTTTTTAGAGTCTGGAGGATTTAGAGTCAGATCTATTTTAAGAGTCTGGAGGATTTAGACCTTGGTCTGTTGCTGAAGACTGTATTATTATCTTTGATTATTTGTGTCACTGGGTTGCTGTCTCATTGACATATACCCACCATCTCCTTTATTTGTTTTTACTTTATCATAACCTAAATTATGTGCCAGTTACAAAGATGTTAATGATTACTTTCCTAAACATATTTTGAACAAATTAACTCTATGACAAAAGTTTGATGGAATTTTTCTTTAAAACTGCCACATTTGATTTCATAGTTGTCTTAAATAATCTTTTATTTATAACTTTATTTTTAAATGTTTTAATGAATTAGCTTAAATGTTTACACAGTACAAATATGATCTGATTTTTGTCATATTATGTAAATATTTGTCTAATATATGTCACCATGTAAAAATCAGTCTGTTTCAACTGGTGTTGCTGTGTAGGGGACAGATAGAAGGTAAAGGTTTTAAATTTTTAACTATTATAATGTACTTTACAGAGTCTTCACTACAAGGAGGAGAGAGAGAAGGTTTGGGGTTTGGAGGGGGGGGGGGGGAGATTACAATTGTTGGCACCAAAATTAGATGACAAAATTTACATTTTTCTTATTAACTTGAAATATCTCACTCCCCAAAAATAAATCTAAATTGCTTCTATATATAGATATATATATAATTATAGGACAAATTGTGAAATTGAACTAGAATAGTTAAAAATGTATTTTAAGACTGGGCTGAAACAATTAATGTATGGATTGAGAATTAGATTTCACTTAAAAAGTGCTACAGTGGATTTATTATTATTTTTGGTATTAATTTTTGTGAATTTCATGGGTAAAAATAAAATCCAAATTTAAAAGTACAACAAGGTATGTATTTCTCACAAGACTTTGGGTATCCACTACAAAAAAATATTCTTCAATCAACAAAAATTGTCCTGTAATTACTGTTTTGTGTTTGAATTTGTGATTTTATTGATCATGAAGAGACACATTTCTAGAATTTTGAAATGAGAATTCCTTTCAGAATTTGATTTTCAACTGCTATTTTATTTTCTTCATCCTCCTCATTGCCTATGTTTAGAAATATATAGCAAGCAGGGGATATAAACAGAAAAATTTCACTACCTCAGGTACTGCTATGAGACACTATCAATAGAGGGGATTTCCATGTGATTTTCTGAGATGTTTAGAAACACAATTATCTCTGATTGGAACAGGGTAATTAATTCCCATGTCCCATTTTTTGGAGAGTGCCATGTTATCAGCACATAAAAAGAACCCTTTCATCAACTCAAAATAAATAACCTTACCTACCATGGTCTCAGTCTCTGGGGACCATTTCCTAACTGCCCATAGAACAGATGCTACTGCATGTTTATGACAGAAATTATGCAGATGTGTAAATTTTCAGGAAACATGGAAAAGGCAAAAATTTAACTTTGAAAACAGGATTAGCCTTAGAAATCCCAAAATTTGTTTTCTCAAGAAAATCAACCACTTTATAGTAAATACTAACACAAATGGAATTTATAACATCTCTATTTTCTGTTTGGTCTTATTTCAGATGGACCAATAAGCCTGTTAGAGACAACATACAATTGCAAAATGGATGTAGATACAGGTCAAAGGTCAGATGGTATGAAGTCCTCACAGTCTAACCAATCAAATGACAGACTGGCTGATGGACAACCAAATGGAGATGTGAACTTTGATCAGCTGTGTAATGTTAAAAACTTAAAAGAAGAAGAACTTTTACCAAGAATTAAAGAAATAGTCATGGCATTAAAGGCACTAGAGGATTACGATCGGGGGGAAGGGATGAAACTTGTGAAAAGTATTGGGGATACCTACTGGAGTCATAAAAGTGTCAGGCATAAAATAGGTCATGTTCTTAAGGAGCAGGATTTTGCAGGTAAATGATTAAGTTTTAAGATAAATTAGAATTTCACAGAAACCAGGCAAGTAATTATCTGTAAAATAAAAATAATTAAATGTGATCATGTGGTATGATTGCCACTAATACAACTCTCCACAAGAGACCAAATGACACAGAAGTTAACAACTATAGGTCACTGTACGGCCTTCAACAATGAGCAAAACCCATATTACATAGTAAGCATGCCAGAAAAATTTTCATGACTTTTATGTCCAAGGGTAGAAATTCTTCAAAAAAAAAAACCCCAACAACTGATACATTCTGAAATGAAGGAATGTTTTGAAGGCAGACAAGGTTAAAACATAGAAATGGAAAGTTTACAATGAGAAAATAGTGTCAGATGAAGGGAGAGAACTCTATTTTTTACAGTGTAATAAGAATTAAGAAATATACTCATTAACACTACAAAATATACAAAAGCATCACTGTTCATATAAAAATAAGAAGATGTGGTATGATTGGCAATGAGACAATTCTCCACCTGCAGAGACCTAATGAGGTAGAAGGTTAGCAAATATAGGTCACTGTACAGCCTTCGACAATGAGCAAAACCCATATGGCATAGCATAACAATAGTTCAACATAGAATAAATCATTATAATTACAACAATAACCATAAAAAAAAATCGTTGATTAAACAAGTTAAGCAGATGCAAAGTTTAAGACCCTTAGATTATGTAGAAAACCCTTATGATAATTTAATGGATGTCTTTGCATATGTCTGGTTTTATGTTTAATGATAATGCATAGAATAGTTTAACGTTATTCCAGATGGTATTAACAAAACAAGGTAGAGAACATAGGCAATCAAAACCCTTATGTGGCTGACTTGATCAATTTTCCAGACTGTATCTCTGCTTGTGAGATAAACAAAAATTAGTGCATTGAACTCAACAATCTACACTTCCTATCCATAAACATTTTAGGAAATCTATCAATGAAATATATACTCAGATATTGAAGTTACAAAATGATGTGTATTTGGATAACCATACTTGTCAAGAAAATTACATAAACTGTGCATGGTGCATGAATCCAGTATCTGTTCTAAATCACTGTTAATGTAATATATAAAATTGGAGTTATCTTCCTTTGTACATTATTGTAGTTAAACCAATTCATAGTATTGTCCTCAAATGCTTAATACAGTGCAATGTATACATTTAAGTTCCCATTGCAAAATGAATGCATGTTTATCCTTCAGTGCTCACGAGCACTTTGATTAATGACATTTTGAAAAAAGGATCTTTTTTTTTACAGAAATAGCAATGAAAATGTTGACATCATTAAACAAGAAAGGAATTTTTAAAAATGATGGAATCTGGTTCCCAACTTACTATACACTGAATACTCTGTGGAACTATTCAGATGCCAGTCTAGAACTTGCCAAAGTAAGTATCTTTAGTAACATTGCCAATGTACTATGATTGTGTTCCATAAAGCCACAATACACTACCCATGGTTTGTGCTGATGTGGTTTAAAGCAATCAACAATCAATCAATCACTACCCATGGATAGATACCATATAACTACTCAGATACTAGTGAAAGCCAGCTGCTTTTTACATCATTCCTTATAATTTGATTCTAATTTCCATTTCTAAGGAGTAAATCATGAAAAAAAGGTTAATGAAGTCACAGTCACATGACAAAATTATGTCTATGAGCTGATAGACAAAAAACTTTCAGCCAATCAGAGGACTTGATACGTCCAAAATTAAATTATTGACATTTATATAGTAATAATACCACCATACACTACCCATGAACATATACCATAGAACTACTCAATTGTAATAAGGTGTGAGGGATCTTCTGATCTCTCAGATACCTAAGAATAACTTTCTGTTTGACAATGTATTTTTTCTATTTTAAATTTTTGATCACACATTCTCAAACACTATTAAACAGATTGACTTAATATGTTGACAGCAGCTCAATAGCAATGAGTTGTAATGAATGCACCCTATTGAGATCTGTCAGACATAAACTTCCTTTTTTCTGATACATATAGAGTATAGTTTTTGTCTCGCCTTGACAGAGTCAAAAAGCGAGACATAGGTATGCTGTTTCCGGCGGCGGCGGCATCAACAATGTATTAGTTTGTGATTAGGTCTAGTTCATGGTGAACCACTAGTGGTAGGTCAGTGATATTTGGTCTGCAGTTGTATTAGCATTGGCACATCTCATTACCATGGAGATTGTTTGGCCCTGCCCCCTCAGTCAAGGTCTATTGACTTTGAAACTTTGCTTAGTTTACATGTATTAGTTTGTGATTAGGTCAGTTTATGGGGAACCACTAGTGGTAGGTCAATGATATTTGGTCTGCAGTTGTATTAGCATTGGCACATCTCATTACCATGGAGATTATTTGGCCCCGCCCCCTCATTCATGGTCTTTTGACTTTGAAACTTTTGCTTAGTTTTCATGTATTAGTTTGTGATTAGGTCAGTTTAAGGAGAACTGTTAGTGGTAGGTCAATGATAATTGGTATGCAGTTGTATAAGCATTAACACATCTTATTTCCATGGAGAATATTTGGTCCTTACCCCTCAGTCATGGTCTATTGACTTTGAAACTTTTACTTAGTTTACATGTATTAGTTTGTGATTAGGTCAGTTTAAGATGAACCACTAATGTTAAGTCAATGATATTTGGTATGCAAATGTATTGGCATTTGCAAGTTTCATTTCCATGGATTATATAGCCCCACCCCCTCATCATGGTTCATTGACTTTGAAACTTTTACATAGTTTACAAGTAATGTTTGTGTTTAGGTTTGTTGAAAGGGAATGACTTATGATAAGTAAATGGTATTTGGTATGCAGTTGTATTAGCATTGGCACATCTCATTTCCATGGAGATTGTTTAGCCCTGTACCTTCAGTCATTGACTTTGAATATTTGCATAACTTACATGTAAAGTATTGCTATTTTTAATTTAAACATAAGCATTATCAAAATAACAAATAGGCGAGACATATCTCTGTGTTAACAGTTTATTTGTATATGATACTGACTTTATCAGCAAGAATATCTTGTCTTAACTGTAGGTTTTTTTCGGTTGAGAATATGAAGTAAAATGGAATAGTTAGTATAACTACTTTAACATGTACAAAACATTGAAATAATTGTGTACAAAACATTGAAATAATTGTGTACAAAACATTGATATGATTGTGTACAAAACATTGATATAATTGTGTACAAAACATTGATATAATTGTGTACAAAACATTGATATAATTGTGTACAAAACATTGATATAATTGTGTACAAAACATTGATATAATTGTGTACAAAACATTGATATAATTGTGTACAAAACATTGATATAATTGTTCGGTTGTAAGAATGAAGTGGCCTGCATTTCATTGATATAATTGTGTACAAAACATTGATATAATTGTTCGGTTGTAAGAATGAAGTCGCTTGCATTTCATTGATACATTGACGCAGATGGAATTAAGCATGTGATGTTGCTGCACTGATACATGACGCCATTGCCAGATATTTTCGAGTATCAAGCCCTGTCAATGATCTTAAAAATATTAGGCAGTGAGATCAAAGGGAAATGTACAGATTGCCGATACTATCAATTACAAGTAAGGGTATGCTTTCATAACAATATTTGCATTCATGTTTTAAATGATTTTCTAAGTTATAAAATAAAAATATCTTAAAAACAACATCCCTATTTTCATACCAGTATGAACATACAGGCCGCTGGGCTTCCTGTATAACTTATTTTTATTTCTGTTTCAGACAGTAGCACAACATGGTGGAGTAAAATATTTCACTGTCAACTGTAAACACAAGCCTTATATAGATAATATGTCATCAAAGGTAATTTATTCTACTGGTTTCCTAAGTAATTAAATACTTTGAAGAAAAGAATTCTTAGATGATAGGTTGAATAACTTGACATATTTAGCAACTGTATCAAATCTAAGTAAAGAACATTTAACCCAATCTAATTAATTAAATTTGATTTCATTTGGAACAATGGAACAGATAAAGTGAAAAGAACAGTATTAAGTACCTGGAAGTTACAAAGATGTATTAATGTGACAGATATTTTAAAACCAAACTAAATATATGACAGACATTTTAAAATAAATTGAAGCACTAAATATGACAAAATTGAAGCACTAAATATGACAGACATTTTAAAATAAATTGAAGCACTAAATATGACAGACATTTTAAAATAAATTGAAGCACTAAATATGACAGACATTTTAAAACAAATTGAAGCATTTTGAATAGGTCATGGGTCAAAAGATTAACATATCCTGAAACCTCTAACTGGAAAATTATACTAAGGTTCTAAGCTAATTTGGGGAAAAATGTTCTTATCTTTGATATGAACATAGACATTATAAATATAATACCCAATATAAACTTGTACAAAATACCAGACTTCTACTTAGAAATAATCAAAACATGGATCAAATATACAAGGGAGAAAACTGCAAGATCTGAAAACTTTAGATCAATTGGACAAGAGATTATATGGGGAATAACTATATTAAAGATCAGGATAAATGCCTTGTTCTTAAAACTTAGATTGATATTAACATAATTCATATAAAGGATATGTTACAGTTGTGAATTTCTAATATGGACATAAACCACAAAGGCTAAGGTTCTTTTATATAATCTTTATTTTAAATATTCAGTATATCAGTACCCTATGAAATAACAATTACAATTATCAAATACTATATATAACATAAAATACAATAGATGTGACACATACATTTTATAAATAACATGCAATACAATAGATGTGACACATACATATCTTAAATACTATAAATAACATGCAATACAATAGATGTGACACATACATATCATAAATACTATAAATAACATGCAGTACAATAGATGTGACACATACATATCATAAATACTATAAATAACATACAATACAATAGATGTGACACATACATATCATAAATACTATAAATAACATAAAATACTATAGATGTGACACATACATATCATAAATACTATAAATAACATACAATACAATAGATGTGACACATACATATAAATACTATGAATAACATAAAATACTATAGATGTGACACATACATATCATAAATACTATAAATAACATACAATACAATAGATGTGACACATACATATCATAAATACTATAAATAACATAAAATACTATAGATGTGACACATACATATCATAAATACTATAAATAACATACAATACAATAGATGTGACACATACATATAAATACTATGAATAACATAAAATACTATAGATGTGACACATACATATCATAAATACTATAAATAACATACAAAACAATAGATGTGACACATACATATTATAAATACTATAAATAACATAAAATACTATAGATGTGACACATACATATTATAAATACTATAAATAACATGCAATACAACAGATGTGACACATACATATAAATACTATAAATAACATACAATACAATAGTTGTGACACATACATATGATAAATACTATAAATAATATAAAATACTATAGATGTGACACATACATATCATAAATACTATAAATAACATACAATACAATAGATGTGACACATACATATTATAAATACTATAAATAACATAAAATACTATAGATGTGACACATACATATCATAAATACTATAAATAACATGCAATACAAGAGATGTGACACATACACTTCATAAATACTATAAATAACATACAATACAATAGATGTGACACATACATATTATAAATACTATAAATAACATAAAATACAATAGATGTGACACATACATATTATAAATAACATGCAATGCAATAGATGTGACACATACATAAAATAAATACTATAAATAAAATGCAATATAATAGATGTGACACATACATATTATAAATACTATAAATAACATAAAATACAATAGATGTGACACATACATATTATAAATACTATAAATAACATAAAATACAATAGATGTGACACATACATATTACAAATAACATGCAATACAATAGATGTTACACATACATATTATAAATACTATAAATAACATACAATACAATAAATGTAACACATACATATTATAAATACTATGAATAACATACAATACAATAGATGTGACACATACATATCATAAATACTATAAATAACATACAATACAATAGATGTGACACATACATATTATAAATACTATAAATAACATACAATACAATAGATGTGACACATACATATAATAGTCAATTACAAAGAGGCTTGCATAAACAATCTGTCTGCCTATTATATATTTGTAACAAATCATCTTTTAGAATTGCCAACAACACAATTCAAACTCTACCAATATGTTAAGTTATTTACACAGCGGGATTTTCTTGCTGAGTTAAAGACCCATTGTTGGCCTTCTGCTCTTTGGTAGGGTAGTTGTCTCTTTGACACATTTCCTGCTTCCATTTTCAATTCTAATAATATATCTCTTTAAACTACAGTTACATTTAAGTGTGTATTTCATGAAGTTTTACATAAGATAGATATTTCAGTACTTAATATAATGCTATTCTTATATTATATGTCATTCTCTTATGTATGTGGCCTGTTATCTATTTCTTCTATGAACAGATATTTCTCGTATCACATGGCACAGAGTGTGATACAGAAAAGTGGTAAGAAATTTGCCTCAATTTGATTGGCTTATCCAGCATCAGGAGACAATATTACGACATTTCCATTGGCTATTTGTTAGGTCATTGATAACTTTCAAAGGTTAAGACGATGTACATTTCGTCCATGTCAACGGGCATATGGGATTTCATAATACTGTAAATTCAGAAATTATTGTGTGCAATTATTATTGCGATTTTGTCATTTTAGACTAAATGCGATTTTAATTTTGCGATTTTGAGAAAAATCCTGTTTAATTCATATAAAAAATTTCAAAATGCGAGTTTAAATTATTGCGATTTTAACCCTGTCGCATTTTTCGCAATAATAAAAACATCGCAATAATTTCTGAATTTACAGTAATATACAAAGCACTCATATTTTTCACCTGGGAATCTTCTTTTTGACAAAGTTTATTACATTCTAAAGCATACAAAAAATTTTAAAATATCTGATGTTAAAGTTTGACGCCTGAACAGGACATATGACGTCATGCTGACATGTGCAAAAGACTAAATTAAATAATGATGGAATGAGTGTTGACCTTAAGAGAAATAGGTTTAACAACTCGTGAGAATTGGATATCACTTGATATCAACTCTCCTTATTTAATTCAAATAGTAATTATAAACTTGTCAAAGGTTCATTTATTGTTATATTGAAATTAAACAACTCTAGTTGATATCAAGGAATACTAAATTTTTCACTTGTTAGGAAACCTATAAATATATTAACTTAGTTAATAATATGTATATAACTAATTACCAATCTATGGAACTAGGTCTAACAACACTTCTATACATCTAGTGTGTCACCCTATCAAAGACTCAGCTCTGCACAAATAATGGGTTCTGCAAATTAAACAATAATGATATAATAGATAGGCTTGATTGAGATGTACTCTAGTATATAATACACTTTAATCACAATCTCATTATAATCAATGTTACATTTGCACGTCTAGAATTAACACTGTACTGATACATATTATCAAATCTAAAAATAGTTACAATTATCCACCATGGCAAAAGGTCAAGGTCATTTCAAATTAAACTAAAATCTCCTTTTACACTTTTAAACTGCAGATTCATAAATCATGCATGCACATATTCATATCACTCTCATCCAAACCTTTAGTTATATCAGGATAGGGTATACTTACCAAATGGCCAATAAATTTCATGTTCACAATAAACACCATTCTCACAAACTCAAATAATGCAATGTTAAAAAGGGACTAAACAAAATTTTCCCTTGAATTTTAAATTTGCAGGAAAATTAACCCTGTTTTCATTGCACAGATTAACAGAGTTATAAACATATACTTTGGGTCTTTCAAAACATCACTCTTTCTTTCTTTGGTGTTCCTATAAAATATTTTGGAAACTTGAGGTGACCTGGTTACTAAAGCTTTGAAACGGGTAAATAAAGGAGTGAAAAATTGCTTGGTTTATTTCTAGTGATGGTTATTTTCTTATATTCAATGAAATGTTTTACGAGATTTTTACCGTAGTAATTGCAAAAAAAACACTACACTATAATGTATACTCCACCTAACACAGGTGCTCTAGAAGGGTAAACAGTTCCTGGTTTACTAATGCCACCAGTTGTTCATTGCAAGTAAAATTCCTGTATCAAGTCACATTTTTTGATGTCATAATCAATGAAAAGAGGGCAGGATTAAGGACATAACAAGGATGAAATGTTCTAAGACATCTCTGAAACAGATAATCCCAATCATGATGGTGCCTGTAAAACATTTAAAATGCAAGTCCTGGAATATTAAATTAAGTGCATGTTGGAGCTTTATATTCGATTATTGGGAATACTGCTGCATAGAATGGAAAGTTCACAATAAGAAATAGTATGTCAGTTAAGGGAAAGAACTGTAATTTTCATAATGTAAATACAAACTTTTCAGTTTGACCTTAAACTCCTTTGAACTTTATGAATTGCAACATTGACTTTTTCATTTTGAATTTTTATTTCAGAATGTATTTTATGTGGTCAAGTCTTCAATGAGTATATTACATAATATAGCCAGGAACTCTAATGTTCATCATTACTTCAAAGAAAATGCTACCTCAGATGTAAGTACATGCAGATTTCAAAAAATGAAACTTTCAGATACTTTTAATGCCCTTGCCACTATGGGAAGGGGTCATTTAGGTTTTCCCTTGTCTGTCCATCTATAAGTCCCCAAATTGGTTTATCTTTACTAATTTTAGTTTGCTTCAACCAAATGTTATGAAACATATACACAATGCTTATTACCAGAGCTCCAGATAAGCTGCGTATTTGCGTGATCACGCAATACAAATAATTAAAAACCCAATGCAATTGCCCATTGCAGGGTTCAAAAACCCAATTAATTCAAAGGAAAACCCAATTATATGCCAAAACCATGAGTTCTTAACGCTTTGATTCGCTATCGTTTGCGTTATTTACCCTTATCTGAATACAGTCGTCATGTAAATCTATTTTTATAATATTTATAATTGGAAATGTCCTTTCGTTCTAAAAATAGAGCCCTGCATCAAGTATCCGAAATGGGTCCCTGTTGGAATTTTCCGTTGCTCAAAAGGTACACGTGTTTATGAAAACATTTCGATCTTCTCGGCGTTTATCCAATTAGCGTTTGTCTTGTTGTCATATTTTTTTCGAATTGCTCGGGATTTATCATAACATACAATGAATTAAAACGAAAGTAAATATCTGATAAAAATATTGAATAGAAGCATGTTTTCAGTGAAAAATAATGAACTCCGAGGAAAATTCAAAAAGGAATGTCCATAATCAAAACCCTGTGTTTATCGTTCTAGCAATGTTCTCGTTAAGGTACGTAGAATATGTAGTATATATAGTTGGAAAGCATCAGAAACCAAAAGTTCTAATCAGCTGGGACAACTTAACCCAGATTTATGTAAATTAAATTAAACAAAAACATTCAAGTATAATTTTAGTTTATATATTATTTTTTTCATTTTTTGTTGATGAGTGAATACACATATCCGTTTTTTACGTCAATGCATCTTGACACTTTCTTTGTTTTGGTCTTATTGTTCTGTATGCTTATGATAGTTGTCTTATTGGCAAGTGCAGTTTAACATTGTCATTTATTTATTTGATGTTGCAGAATTATTTGTAAATTTAACTCTGTAAATTTAAGTTGAATGTGGTCTCCGTCATTAAACCTATAAACCTGGGCAAGGTTTTGTGGTATATCTTAAATCTGGGAACTACTTATTATTTTTATTATAAAGTAGATCTGGCAAATAGGTGAAAGGACTGGCAAAACTTTCTTACAGCACCTAAATTTCACATATATTACATAAAAATCTAAACACTTAGCCACACGTACCCCAACTAAACTGTAGGGTGATCATATGGGATCTAGAAAGGTAATTAGTAACTGTCCAACTAGTGACACCAGCTGCAGTTTATATAAGTTGTGAGAAAATACAAAACTGGCAGAACGTTTAAAATCGGACACAAATTAAACGTACAATTGCTCGTCAGTGAATAAACCAAATAAAACAGCTAGCATATATACAAAGAAAGAAACACATTTAAGATGGAAAAACATCTGCATGGGGTTGATATGATGTGATTATAACATGCCTTAACATTCAATATTGTGTTGATGAAAAAACCCAATACATTAAGGAGCTTGGTGGTGAAAAACCCAATTTGATATTTGCTTGAGGGGTGAATTGGAATTGATAATGCAATTAAAAAACTTTATCACCCAATTACATAAAAAAATGGTGGGTAAAAACCCCAATTTGTGAATTCTTATCTGGAGCTCTGATTATTACTGCAGATCACATTCTTATTTGGGTTTCTAACTTTCACGCTCTCGAGTTATGTCCCTTTCTAAATGGAAAAATTGTTGTTTTAAATGTCAATAGGTTTTTATAAGTATATTGACTTTACTTTTGCATGTATACAAGCAGGGGCATATTTTTCCCATGGAGACATTCTTATATAAAAAGTAAAATCGCAAAAATAATGAACTCCGAGGAAAATTCAAAAAGGAATGTCCATAATCAAAAGGCAAAATCAAAAGCTCAAACACATCAAACGAATGGACAACAACTGCCATACTCCTTACTTGGTACAATATAATTTTCTCTTCTATGGAAGAAAGTATTTCAAAACAAAACCAACATGCTGCATTCAATATCAATTATTGGTAAACTTTATCTATAAAACACCAAAATATCAAAACTTTTGGAATTAATGAAATATGACAATTGTTTTTGAACATTTCAGTATTAAAGGGCATGTATGTCAATAGGAATGAAAAGAGATGTAGGTTATGATGCTGGCTCAGGTCACAATGGCATTTGTCAGAATCAAGAATTTTTTTGATTAAGAGCAGCAGGACATCTTCATCTTGCCCCTATAAAGATGACACAATTAAATAGTGGTAAAACATTTGCTATTCTCTGTTGTGTTTTTAAATAAGCAAACAATTATTTTTTTGTAAGATTTGACCTCCCTATCAGAAAAGTGGATCTCAAATGGAAATTTTCAAATCATTAAAAAAATATTGGGCAGCAATATTAAAGTCAGGTTTATTTAAAGGTGATGATCCAGTTTTTACAATCAAAAGAAGAGCATGAGATGTTAAAGATAATGGCCATGTTGACGTTAGCTCATATCGTAGAGGAGGAGGAGAACGATAAATTAATTGATGACACAGGTAATGCAATAAACAAACACCTGCTGATAACTCAGGTAAAACAATAAACAAGATAATGGCCATGTAAACTTTAGCTTATATCATACAAAAAACAGACACATTCACAAAAATAGGTTAAACACAAAAGCCACACCACTACAATTAAACATAAACAGATCTAAGGAAACACAGGTAAAGCTTGAACAACGGGTCCACACACTGACCGATACAAACACAGGTACATGTAAAGCTTGAACAACAGGTGCACACTCTGACCGATACAAACACAGTTTGAACAACAGGTGCACACACTGACCTATAAAAAAACACAGGTACATGTAAAGCTTGAACAACAGGTGCACACTCTGACTGATACAAACACAGTTTGAACAACAGGTGCACACTCTGACTGATACAAACACAGTTTGAACAACAGGTGCACACTGACTGATACAAACACAGTTTGAACAACAGGTGCACACTCTGACTGATACAAACACAGTTTGAACAACAGGTGCACACACTGACCGATACAAACACAGGTACATGTAAAGTTTGAACAACAGGTGCACACTCTGACTGATACAAACACAGGAACATGTAAAGTTTGAACAACAGGTGCACACTCTGACTGATACAAACACAGTTTGAACAACAGGTGCACACTCTGACTGATACAAACACAGTTTGAACAACAGGTGCACACTCTGACTGATACAAACACAGTTTGAACAACAGGTGCACACTCTGACTGATACAAACACAGTTTGAACAACAGGTGCACACTCTGACTGATACAAACACAGGTACATGTAAAGCTTGAACAACAAGTGCACACTCTGATACAAATACAGGTAAAGCTTGAACAACAGGTGCACACTCTGACCGATATAAACACAGGTATATGTAAAGCTTGAACGACAGGTGCATACTCTGACTGATACAAACACAGGTAAAGCTTGAACAACAGGTGCACACTCTGACTGATACAATCACAGTTTGAACAACAGGTGCACACTCTGACTGATACAAACACAGTTTGAACAACAGGTGCACACTCTGACTGATACAAACACAGTTTGAACAACAGGTGCACACTCTGACTGATACAAACACAGGTACATGTAAAGCTTGAACAACAGATACACACTCTGACCGATACAAACACAGGAACATGTAAAGCTTGAACAACAGGTGCACACTCTGACCGATACAAACACAGGTACATGTAAAGCTTGAACAACAGGTGCACACTCTGACCGATACAAACACAGGTACATGTAAAGCTTGAACAACAGGTGCACACTCTGACCGATAGGAACATAGGTACATGTAAAGCTTGAACAACAGGTGCACACTCTGACTGATATAAACACAGGTATATATATGTAAAGCTTGAACGACAGGTGCACACTCTGACCGATACAAATACAGGTAAAGCTTGAACAACAGGTGCACACTCTGACCGATACAAACACAGGTACATGTAAAGCTTGAACAATAGGTGCACACTCTGACTGATACAAACACAGGTACATGTAAAGCTTGAACAACAGGTGCACACTCTGACCGATATAAACACAGGTACATGTAAAGCTTGAACAACAGGTGCACACTCTGACTGATATAAACACAGGTATATATATGTAAAGCTTGAACGACAGGTGCACACTCTGACCAATACAAACACAGGTAAAGCTTGAACAACAGGTGCACACTCTGACCGATATAGACACAGGTATATGCAAAGCTTGAACAACAGATGCACACTCTGACCGATACAAACACAGGTACATGTAAAGCTTGAACAACAGGTGCACACACTGACCGATACAAACACAGGTACATGTAAAGCTTGAACAACAGATGCACACTCTGACCAATACAAGCACGGAGGTGGTCCTCAGCTGGCCCTTAAATAAAATTGTGTGCTTGTTCAGTGAAAATGGATGTCACACTAAACTCAAAAACATATAAATGAACTAAAATTAAAAAACATACTAGACTAACAAAGGCCAGAGGCTCCTGACTTGGGACAGGCGTAAATATGCGGTGGGGATAAACATGTTTTGTGAGATCTCAACCCTCCCCCTATACCACTATACCTATATAACAGGTGCACACTCTGACCAATACAAACACAGGTGAACAAAGAGACCCACAATTAAAGTTATATGTATATATTTTTAGGAGCTGTTGAAGGAATAGTCAGCTATATCAAGTTAGCATTAAACAATGAGCGAGGAAGATATAAAGGGTTTACACCTATTGAACTCATGGATGGACTTGGTAAACTGGCTGTCAACGATAGAAATAAAAGCAAGGTAAACTAGTTTTCTCCTGTTTCAAATGCCAGTGATATCTGCATCATATGTTTTAGCTCACCTGGAGCAAGAGGTTCATAAGAGATTTTTGCCATCTCTTGGCATTCATCATCTGTCTTTGTTTTTCCTTGTTGTCTTCATCATCACTGTAAAAAAATCTTCTCTGATACTAATGGGCCTAATTTTACTAAACTTTACGACAGTGTTCCCTAGGGCATCCTGTTTGTAGATTTTATCTTTAGATTGGATCTATCATTAAACATGGTCACTGTTACTAAAAATTAAAAAAAGCAGTGCATATGGTTTTGTTTGTTTGTAAAAAATCATAAGAGATAGAGAAAAATGTCACTTCATAACAATCAGAGGGCAATATCTACCAATGTTTTTGATTGTTCGGAATTGTTAATGTACTCCATATCTGAATTATTGCTCTGAAATGATGATTTTTACTAATGTTTGGGGGTTTTGGCTATAATCTTGGAAATTACAATGTATAAAGAGAAACTTGGAATAGCAAAAAAATAAATACTCTGCCAATATCAAACCCAGTCACAATCTTATTTAATGTGTAAAAGATGGCTTTCACTGTTACTAATGATTTTAATGTTGCTACTTTTGTCAGGTGAGTAATTCAGGCTACTTGGAGCCTCTAGTTTAGTTTAATCTTGTTAAGGCTTGATATTCAAAATGATATGAAAAAAATTAAAATTAAACTGTAGGAGTGTTGCATTTAAGAAATGCATAGAACCCATGGAAGGCACTTTGAAAATGAAATATCTACCCTTAGATGCAATTTAATAATTCAATAACATCTTCACCGAAAACAAAACAATATTTGACACTCACCCATAAATGGCATATTAAAGTGTCGTCCCTTGGTCCCATGTATGTTTTTATTGAACAGCCCTTGGGTTAATGTCAAAGGTCATGTTGGGTTAATGTCAAAGGTTATGTGACATTGATGTCTAAATTGACATGGGGGTAATGTCTTAGGCCTAGGTGATGTGAGATTTATGTTAAGGAGAAATTGTCTCGAGAGCTCAATTTAAATGACAAGTTAAGGTAATCTTACAACTTACAATGAGCATGTTCTAAATCATCTACAATCTACATTTATTTTACAGATAATTGATGCAGGTGCTCTCCCTTTACTTCTGAAAATGTTAAAACAAGAAAATATGGAAGAACAGGCAGTGGCATCAAAAGCTCTATGGACATTATCTTTTGATAAAGATGTGGCACAAAAAATACGAGACTTTGAAGATCTTATGCCTATATTAGAAAAGTTATCAGGCAGTCAAGATAAAAATGTAGAGAAAAATTGTAAAGGAGCATTGTTTGTACTTAAGGGAGAGAATGATGTCAAAAATCGTAAGTATATAGTGTTGTAAAGGTATTTACTGTGAAGGTATTATTGTTTTGGGGGGGGGGGGGGGGGGGGGGGGGGTATAAATTTTTTTGAATTTTGTTGATCCCTCCAACCACACCAAATTTTTAATACGCAATAAAATTCCTTTTTTTTGTATTTAGTCTAAATATGTTAACCCATGAATCAGCAATGATTTTACAAACTATCAAAGTTGATGATGGTTAATAATGACAACATTAAAAGTACCAATTTTCTGCACCAGATGCGCATTTCGACAATAAATGTATCTTCAGTGATGCTTGAGGCCAAAATATTTGAAAATCCAAAGCTTATTAAAAATAAGAAGAGCCGATAAACCAAAAATGACAAAAAAGTATCACCAAAGTCAGGGAAGGAATCAGAGCTTTTTAATTAATGCACTTTCACAGTATAAAAGAATAACAGTTCAGTCTACAAAATATATTATGAAAAGTGTATAATCAGCACCATACCTTAATTATTGTCAACAAAGTCTGTACCCTGGCCATTTTTCAAACAAGATTTGGATGAGGATCTTTTCCATATTAAATCAAAAACATTGTAAGAAATGTTTCAGAAAAAAATATTTACTTAATAATGATTTTTTTAATCAGAATCTTAAAGGAACCCAACATATTCTTAATTTTGGCCTTGCATGTATATATTAATAAGTTTGGATTTAACACGTCTTCTGATTGGCTGAAAGTTTTTTGTCTATCAGCTCATGGATATAAATGTGTCATGTGACCGTGACATAAAAGTTTTTTCATGATTTACTCCTTAAATATGGAATTTAGAATTAAATTATAAGGAATGACTGTAATATTTTTCTGTCTATTCGAAATAACCTCAAAAATGTGGTGCACACTTTGAAATAACCCGATACCAGGTGCAGATCCAGCAATTTTTTAAAGGGGGGTTCCAACCTAGGATAAAGAGTGGGGGGGGGGGGGTTCAAACATATGTCCCCATTCAAAAGCATTAATCGTATATGAATTTTTACGATATATTCAAAATGTTTTCAGGTCCAAAATCCTCATCAAGAAGATCCAAGAGACATATATTTATAAGTTATGCCTGGAATGAAAAAGATATGGTCTATAAACTCAAAGACAGGCTGAAGGTAATTATCTATCTGATTAGAATACAGAACCTGTGTCCTATAAACTCAAAGACAGACTGAAGGTAATTATCTATCTGATAAGAATACAGATCCTGTGTCCTATAAACTCAAAGACAGACTGAAGGTAATTATCTATCTGATTAGAATACATATCCTGTGTCCTATAAACTCAAAGACAGACTGAAGGTAATTATCTATCTGATTAGAATACAGATCTTGTGTCCTATAAACTCATAGACAGGCTGAAGGTAATTATCTATCTGATTCTAATACAGATCTTGTGTCCTATAAACTCAAAGACAGACTGAAGGTAATTATCTATCTGATTAGAATACAGATCTTGTGTCCTATAAACTCAAAGACAGACTGAAGGTAATTATCTATCTGATTAGAATACAGATCTTGTGTCCTATAAACTCAAAGACAGACTGAAGGTAATTATCTATCTGATTAGAATACAGATCCTGTGTCCTATAAACTCAAAGACAGACTGAAGGTAATTATCTATCTGATAAGAATACAGATCCTGTGTCCTATAAACTCAAAGACAGACTGAAGGTAATTATCTATCTGATTAGAATACATATCCTGTGTCCTATAAACTCAAAGACAGACTGAAGGTAATTATCTATCTGATTAGAATACAGATCTTGTGTCCTATAAACTCATAGACAGGCTGAAGGTAATTATCTATCTGATTAGAATACAGATCTTGTGTCCTATAAACTCAAAGACAGACTGAAGGTAATTATCTATCTGATTAGAATACAGATCTTGTGTCCTATAAACTCAAAGACAGACTGAAGGTAATTATCTATCTGATTAGAATACAGATCCTGTGTCCTATAAACTCAAAGACAGACTGAAGGTAATTATCTATCTGATTAGAATACATATCCTGTGTCCTATAAACTCAAAGACAGACTGAAGGTAATTATCTATCTGATTAGAATACAGATCTTGTGTCCTATAAACTCATAGACAGGCTGAAGGTAATTATCTATCTGATTAGAATACAGATCCTGTGTCCTATATATTCAAAGACAGACTGAAGGTAATTATCTATCTGATTAGAATACAGATCTTGTGTCCTATAAACTCAAAGACAGACTGAAGGTAATTATCTATCTGATTAGAATACAGATCCTATGTCCTATAAAATCAAAGACAGACTGAAGGTAATTATCTATCTGATTAGAATACATATCCTGTGTCCTATCAACTCAAAGACAGACTGAAGGTAATTATCTATCTGATTAGAATACAGATCTTGTGTCCTATAAACTCAAAGAGACTGAAGGTAATTATCTATCTGATTAGAATACAGATCTTGTGTCCTATAAACTCAAAGACAGGCTGAAGGTTATTATCTATCTGATTAGAATACAGATCTTGTGTCCTATAAACTCAAAGACAGGCTGAAGGTAATTATCTATCTGATTAGAATAGAGATCCTCTGTCCTATAAAATCAAAGACAGACTGAAGGTAATTATCTATCTGATTAGAATAGAGATCCTCTGTCCTGTAAACTCAAAGACAGACTGAAGGTAATTATTTATCTGATTAGAATACAGATCTTCTGTCCTATAAACTCAAAGACAGGCTGAAGGTAATTATCTATCTGATTAGAATAGAGATCCTCTGTCCTATAAACTCATAGACAGGCGGAAGGTAATTATCTATCTGATTAGAATACAGGTCCTATGACCTATAAAGTCAAAGACAGGCTGAAGGTAATTATCTATCTGATTAGAATACAGATCCTGTGTCCTATAAACTCAAAGACAGGCTGAAGGTAATTATCTATCTGATTAGAATACAGATCCTGTGACCTATAAAATCAAAGACAGACTGAAGGTAATTATCTATCTGATTAGAATACAGATCTTGTGTCCTATAAACTCAAAGATAGACTAAAGGTAATTATCTATCTGATTAGAATACAGATCCTGTGTCTTATAAACTCAAAGACAGACTGAAGGTAATGCTGATTAGAATACAGATCCTGTGTCCTATAAACTCAAAGACAGGCTGAAGGTAATTATCTATCTGATTAGAATACAGATCTTGTGTCCTATAAACTCAAAGACAGACTGAAGGTAATTATCTGTCTGATTAGAATACAGATCCTGTGTCCTATAAACTCAAAGACAGACTGAAGGTACTTATCTATCTGATTAGAATACACATCCTGTGTCCAAGCTTTGCTTGCAAGGATCTGAAAATGCTCTGTTCTACTTTCTGTTCTGGTAATTATTACATGACAACACTCCGTTCTACTTTCTGTTCTTGTAATTATTACATGACAACACTCCCTTCTACTTTCTGTTCTGGTAATTATTTCATGACAACACTCTGTTCTACTTTCTGTTCTGATAATTATTACATGACAACACTCTGTTCTGTTAATTATTACATGACAACACTCTGTTCTGGTAATTATTACATTACAACACTCTGTTCTGGTAATTATTACATGACAACACTCCGTTTTACTTTCTATTCTGGTAATTTTTACATCAGCCGATAAATTTCTGAAGGTGTGTATTAATCAGACAGAACCAGAAGATCCCAAAAGGTCTCTGAAACAGAAAGTAGAATGGAGTATTTTCATAAATTGTAAGCAAAGTTGAACACAGGATCTGTATTTTAATTGGGTAATTCTGAGCTCAAATAATATTAGCTTTTGTGGCTTATTTTAACCAAATGTCTTATTACATTTTCTAACCCTGGATCAAGTCTGTGTTCCTGCATAAATCATATCTCACGTCAAACCATTATAAATATTGAATATTTATGTTTGAAATCAGGGGGATTTTGTTGCCTAATCACTCAGTTTTAGCTCACCTGGTCAGAGAACCATTGTGAGCTATTTCCAATTGATACTTTGCATTGCACATTTAAACTACTACACCAGTTTAAACCAAACTTGGCTATTTTGTCCTTAGAATTTAATTTTGTATTTTATCTGGTTTTCTGTTTATCAACCTGAATATCATTTGTTACTGTAAAATATATGAACTGCTGAATTATGAAAATCAGAATTTAAAGGAAAAAAACACTGTTTAAAGTTAACAATGAAGAGATGGATGTATGTTGAAAAATCTTTGAATTTGAAGTCGATAAATGAATAAATGTGTAGGAACATACAAAAAGATATCTTAAATTTTTAATGTTTCATAAAACGCTTTCAAGATGTTTCGGCCATGAACCACTTTGACCATATGTTGTGGTTCAGTGTTTGTTGATTCGACCTTGGTTATTTCAGTCCAATATCAATTTGTGCAATAAAGTTGATTTTTAATAGAAATGAAATGGGATATAGCTGAGAGTATAAACAACAAAATCTTTCGTACTTTTAATATTAAATGAAAGAATAGACGAAATGACTTTATTACATGGTACATGACCAAAACTACCAAAGCCAAACTGGTTCAATGGTCGTCTTGTTTCCTCATAAGATTGACTGAAAAATTTCAGTAGTTACACCATAACTTATATCACACTTAAAATAAGAAAGAATTATGTATTTTAAGTAATACTGGCACAAATGATCCTTACCAATTTATTAAAGTGATATTGATATAAGTAATTTTAGAATAAATAATCCAAGAAATTCAAATTTTAAATATTTAAAACCTGTAAAAAACACATCAATTCACAGATATGCAAAGAACACGAGTTAATTGTCACTGTTGTTCAGTAATTTGTTTATATGTGAATTTTTATACGCCCGTCAATTTTTGACGGGACGTATTATAGTATACAAATGTCCGGTGTCCGTCCGTCCATCTGTCTGTCCGGCGTAAACATGTCGCACCCTTGAGAATGACTTATCCAAATTTCATGAAACTTAACATAGTTGTTTCTTATGAATGTCAAACGATCTGTATACTTTTTGGTGAAAATAAGATTCATAAAACTTTTTGAGTTACGGGACTTAGTAACTAAAACAGGTGTGTGTTTTTTTTCACATGTCACGCCGTATCTCAAAAACAATTTATGATTATTGCTTAAAACTTTACACACTTCTTAGTTATATTAATCTAAAGATCTGTATACTTTTTGGTGATGATTCAAAATTTTATTTTAGAGATATTGAGTATTTTGTTAAAAAAGGGGGAGGGGTTTTTCACATGTCGCGCCGTATCTCAAAATAATTTTATGACTATTGCTTAAAACTTTTATGACTATTGCTTAAAACTTTACACACTTCTTAGTTATATTAACCTTAAGATCTGTATACTTTTTGGTGATGATTCAAAATTTTATTTTTGAGTTATTGAGTATTTTGTAAAAAAAGGGGGATGGGTTTTTCACATGTCGCGCCGTATCTCAAAAACGATTTATGATTATTGCTTAAAATTTTACACACTTCTTAGTTATATTAATCTAAAGATCTGTATCCTTTTTGGTTTTGATTCAAAATTTTATTTTAGAGATATTGAGTTTTTTGTAAAAAAAAAGGGGAGTTTTCGCATGTCATGCCGTATGTCAGAAACTATTTATGCTTATTGCATAAAAATTCACACACAAGACGACGGGCGTATCATGCGCTCATGGCGCAGCTGTTTATTTTCTATAGGTTCATTAAAATCACCTAGTGCTGTATGATGTCAGAGGAGTAAAAAATTTCTTTCAAATGTGAGATAATTTGGTTTTATTTGAACAAGAAATTAAGATATTTCATTGCAAACAGTGTGATAAATTCACTAATTTTGATTACTGTAATTTCAAACCTCTTTGACAAAAATGAGGAACAGAGTTTTATATATTTTGTAGCAAGAAGGTTTGGAGGTATGGATAGATGTAGAAAGAATGGGAGGATCCACATTATCAGCCATGGCGGAGGCAGTGGAAAATGCATCTGTTGTGTTAATTTGTATGTCAGAAAAATATAAACTCAGTCCAAACTGTCGTCTGGGTACGTACACATGTGTAATTTTACTGCGTATTGAAGAGAATTGGCGCAGCACGAAATAGTAATTCAGCCTTAGTCATATTAGTTGTTTTCTATGATTTTTAGAATGTGTCATTTTTCTGTGTATGATAGAAAATAGAACAATTTAACTCACAGACCTAATTTTTTCCTACAAATACTTTGAAATTAACGAAATTATATTTATTTCTAATTGGTTGTATAGATGATGATGATGATGATGATGATGGATGGCTGCTTAACGTCCAATGGCAAATTAATATGCATATTCAGGAGAAGAACATGTTAATGTAATATGAATATTAACCCTGCATTGTACTAGAAAACACGCTGAGCTGGATTTTTAACGTGCTAGTTCACAAAGTAATAGTCCGCACTAAGACATGTAACCTTACACGGACACATTATTCTGACTCAGAGCTGACCAGTCTTTGCTCTTACTCCTTAATGTCGCATGTTTGGTAGAGAAGCAGCAAATACCAATCTTAAAGTGTTTGGTTTGAACCGGCAGGGGTTCAAACCCAAAGCCTCCCACACTCAAAGCGAACACGCTACCACAAGACTACAGAGCCGGTTTGGGTGTAAAGAGGAAACTTATTTTTTCCTTATTGAGGAAACATTGAATGATAGAAGTGGTTAAAATTCAATGTGAAAATTACTTTTTCACAAATACATCAGAAAATATCAAATAAAATTACAGGGTCAAAAATAAAAAAACACAAATTGTTCTATCAAATTCAATATAATTATCTGCCCTTGATTTTAAATGGATTTTTTTCTGAAAATTTTATTTACACTTAACAACACTTAATTTTTTTATAGTTTAATCTTAAAATTTCAAGTTTTAGATGTTTCTGTTGTAAATTGAATGATACAGATTCAAAAAATTTTAAACCAATAAATATTTTTGCAACATGCTCAGAAGGGATGCTCAGAAAAAGACACACAATCTACCTTAATTAAGGGTTTATTTTTTCAGCAGCAATACTCTGTTATTAAAAACTGTCTGTCTGTTTGTCCCACAGTCTGTCTGTAACAAGTTTGGTTACAGAAAGATAATTAAAAGTAATATAAATTTTTGAAATTTGAACACAATGTCTTGGACCATAAAACACAGGTCAAGTACAATTTTTAATGGTTCTGACACTCACCGTCAAAGAGTAATGCCCCCTTATAGACCCCTTAGAAAATAGATTTTTTTCAGGTTGATAAAATACAACTTGAGTAAATCTTATGCAATTTGAACAAAATGATATAAATCTTTGCAGGATCAATTCAATTTAAATCTGTTTTACCTGGGTTTTATCAAAATGAAGGAAGAACAGCATGTAGCAGGTGGATGGGGGGTGGGGGTGGGCGGACAAGCAGCTTGCTTCTGCAAACAATGTTCAACCAATACTTTTTTTCAAATTTGAATATGTTGTTACTGATGACATATTAATGATTTTCTCCTGTACATGTCAGCAGTAACGGCCGTTGCTAGATTGGAGTGTCAGTGCAATAATTTATTATCCTTTCAACCTACCAGCTGCCCTCTTAAGATCAACAATGGTTACCTTCAAAATACATAAAACCTGATTTACTGTCAATTTGACAGCTATTAGCTAGTTACATTTACTGTACAAGAGTTATATGCTTTAGTTACTTTTTATTTTTTGGTTTCTTTGTTATAATGAAAGTTCCAGAACTTTTGACAATTTTTTTATATTTTAATGCAATATAATGAACATAATATACTGTCAAATTTGGTTTCCATGTTCATTCAGCAGCTAATCAGTGATGATAATTTTTGGGACCTGTCAGATACCTTCTTCGTGTTATCAGATATTTAGAATTACAAGTGATGTATGCTTAGCACCACAATATTTGCATTCTTGTTTTTATGCCCCACCTAGGGGCATTATATTTTTCGGTCTGTGCGTCAGTTCGTCTGTCAGTCCATCTGTTCGTCCATTCGTCTGTCTGTCCTGCTTCAGGTTAAAGTTTTTGGTCAAGGTAGTTTTTGATGAAGCTGAAGTCCAATCAACTTGAAACTTAGTACACATGTTCCCTATGATATGATCTTTCTAATTTTAATGCCAAATTAGAATTTTGACCCCAATTTCACGGTCCACTGAACATAGAAAATGGTAGTGCGAGTGGGGCATCCGTGTACTATGGACACATTTTTGTTTTTTGCAGAGGCAGAATACACATTCCAATGTTGGAAGGACTTTGTTCTACTGATGTTACAGAAACAATATTGGCCTGACAGTTGGCTGGGAGCTATCTCTCTCCTATTATTATTAATAAGGTTTTTTTTTTCAGAGGCTGAATACACATTCCAATGTCGGAAGGACTATGTTCCACTGATGTTACAGAAACAATATCGGCCTGACGGTTGGCTCGGAGCTATATTAGGTGCTAAGTTATACTTTGACTTTAGTGGAAAATACCCTTTTGAGAAACCTTGGAATGGACTAATGAAGGAACTGAAAGGAATGGGAAAATTAGGGGAATCTATGGAGAAAAGAGCCGGTAAGTTAGGGGAATCTATTGGTGAATTAGGGGAATCTATTGGTAAATTAGGGGAATCTATTGATAAGTCAGGGGAATCTTCTGGTAGGTCGGGGGAATCTATTAATAAGTCAGGGGAAGCTATTGGTATATAAGTCAGGGGAAGCTATAGAGAAAAGTTTGGTATATGCCTCGAGAATTATTAGAAGCAGAAATTAAAATTGGCACAGATCTTTAACTTACATAAATCTATATAACATAGAGGTACTTTCAGCAAGTAAGTAAGCAGTGGTGCAAAAATAAGTAAAATTGATCCACTATTTATATTTTGCAGAATATGAGTTTTGTTGAGTCATAGAATGTTTTTTGCTCCTGTTATGCAATATTAAACTGAGATCTAAAGATCAGAATTTATATTTACTCAATAAGATGATGACATACTGAGGATTTTACATTGATATGTAATTCACTCACCAATGGATGAAAACAGTTCAAATTCATTTAATGATCAAGAATGAATTTTTAATTCTATTGCAGATTCAACAGATGCTCTTATAGCTTCATCATCATCAACAACGACAACATATGCAGCGCCCTCTAGCTCCAGATTACTCAAGATGAACAACGACGATGTTAGTGAGTGGCTGTGCTCTGTCAAACTTGACGGCTGTGTTCCTTACTTTGCACAGTTCAATGGAAAGTTACTGGATCAACTGAAGAAAATGAGAGATGAGGTCAGTTCAATTTTTTTTATTAGTTTTATTAAGTGAGGGGCTAATTTACATGGATCAAGTGGAAAGCAATTATCACTCAATTTTTAAAAAGCAATAATCAGTCAGTTTTCATTAGGCAAGTGGAAGGCAATAATAAATCAGTTTTCATTAGGCAAGTGGAAAGCAATAATCAGTCAGTTTTCATTAGGCAAGGGGTAGGCAATAATCAATCCGTTTTCATTAGGCAAGTGGTAGGCAATAATCAGTCAGTTTTCATTAGCAAGGGGTAGGCAGTAATCAATCAGTTTTCATTAGGCATGGGGTAGGCAATAATCAGTCAGTTTTCATTAGGCAAGGGGTAGGCAATAATAAATCAGTTTTCATTAGGCAAGGGGTAGGCAATAATCAATCAGTTTTCATAAGGCAAGTGGTAGGCAATAATCAGTCAGTTTTCATTAGGCAAGGGGTAGGCAATAATAAATCAGATTTCATTAGGCATGGGGTAGGCAATAATCAATCAGTTTTCATTAGGAAAGTGGTAGGCAATAATCAATCAGGTTTCATTAGACTAATCAATCAGTTTTCATTAAGAAAGTAGTAGGCAATAATCCATCAGTTTTCATTAGGCAAGTGGTAGGCAATAATCACTCAATTTTTTAAAAGGCATGGGGTATGCTATATGCAGTCAGTTTTCATTATGCAAGGGGTAGGTGACAGTTACTGGATCAACTGAAGAAAATGAGGGATGAGGTCAGTTAATTTTTTATTAGTTTAACTAGGTGAGGAACTAGTTTACATTAGACAAGTGGTAGGCAATAATAACTCAATTTTTAAAAGACAAAGGATAGGCAATAATCAATCAGTTTTCATTAGGCAAGGGGTAGGCAATTATCCAGTTTTCATTAGGCATGCATTAGGCAATAATCAATCAGTTTTCATTAGTCAAGGGGTAGGCAATAATCAATCAGATTTTTTTAGGCAAGTGGTAGGCAATAATCAGTCAGTTTTCATTAGGCAAGGGAAAGGCAAAAATCAATCAGTTTTCATTAGGCAAGGGGTAGACAATAATCAATCCGTTTTTATTAGGCAAGGGGTAGGCAATAATCACTCACGTTTTAAAAGGCAAGGGTATGAAATATTCAGTCAGTTTTCATTAGGCAAGGGGTAGGTGAAAGTTACTGGATCAACTGAAGAAAATGAGGGATGAAGTCAGTTAATTTTTAGCTCACCTGGCCCACAGGGCCAAGTGAGCTTTTCTCATCACTTGGCGTCTGTCGTCTGTCGTCGTCCGTCGTTAACTTTACAAAAATCTTCTTCTCTGAAACTACTGGGCAAAATTTAACCAAACATGGCCACAATCATCATTGGGGTATTTAGTTTAAAAAATGTGTCTGCTTACCAAGATGGCTGACATGGCTAAAAATAGAACATAGGGGTATCATGCAGTTTTTGGCTTATAATTCTGAAACTCAAGCATTTTGAGCAAATCTGACATAGGGGTAAAATGTTCATTAGGTTAAGATATATCTGCCCTGAAATTTTCAGACGAATCAGACAACCCATTGTTGGGTTGCTGTCCCTAAATTGGTAATTTTAAGTAAATTTTTAACAATTTTTCTTAAATTTTTGCAATCTTTTACAAAAATCTTCTCCTTTAAACAACTGGGCCAAATTTAACCAAACTTGGCCACAATCATCATTGGGGTATCTAGTTTAAAAAATGTGTCCGATGACCCCACCTGCTAACCAAGATGGCCGACATGGCTAAATAGAACATAGGGGTAAAATGCAGTTTTCGGCTTATATCTCTGAAACTAAAGCATTTAGAGGAAATCTGACATGGGGTAAAAATGTTCATCAGGTTAAGACCTATCTGCCCTGATATTTTCAGAAGAATAAGACAACCTGTTGTTGGGTTGCTGCCCCTAACTAGGTAATTTTAAGAAAATTTAGCAGTTTTTGGTTATTACCTTGAATATTATTATAGATGGAGATAAACTGTAAACAGCAATAATGCTTAGCAAAGTAAGATCTACAAATAAGTCAACATTGTCAATTTACCCCTTAAGGAGTTATTGCCCTTTATAGTCAATTTTTAACAATTTTTCGTAAATTTTTGTAATCTTTTACAAAAATCTTCTTCTCTGAAACTGCAGAGACAAATTTAACCAAACTTGTCCACAAACATCATTAGGGTATTTAGATTAAAAAATGTGTCTGATGACCCCGCCTGCCAACCAACATGGCCGACATTGCTAAAAATAGAACATAGGGGGTAAAATGCAGTTTTCGGCTTATATCTCTGAAACTAAAGCATTTAGAGCAAATCTGACATGGGCATGATGGGAAAAAAATGTTCATCAGGTTTAGATCTATCTGCCCTTATTCTTTCATACGAATCAGACAACCCATTGTTGGGTTGCTGCCCCTGAATTGGTAATTTTAAATAAAGTTTGCAGTTTTTGGTTATTATTTTGAATATTATTATAGATAGAGATAAACTGTAAACAGCAGTAATGTTAAGCAAAGTAAGATCTACCAATAAGTCAACATGACCAAAATTATCAATTAACCCCTTAAGGAGTTATTGCCATTTATAGTCAAATTTTAACAATCTTTTACAAAAATCTTCTACTTTGAAACTACTTTGCCAAAGAAGTAGGTCCGTGAAACTACTTTGCCAAAGGAGTAGGTCCGGTAAGGGCAGATTTTGGCCTAAAAATTCATGTTCATCTGATGAAAGATTTTGGACACTTTTTAAACACTATAGTGTCTACTTCAGTTGATTAAATTAGTTTATGTGAAATATTTGAACTGATTTAGTCATTAAAGACGCTCAAATTCAAGCTTAAATATGAAAAATCTATCAAAATGCATAATATGTCACATTTCAGATGGTTTTTGTCAAAAATGAAAGTGGCCGCATCCGTGTTCACTCTCAACCTTTATATATGTTATGTATTATCATCAAATACAACTTACAATTTAATATGAAGAATGAACACAAATGCGGCCGCTTCCATTTCAGACGGAAACCGTCTACAAATTAACCAAAATGCTAAAATTTTGAAGATTTTAGTAATTTAGCATGACTTAATCAGGCTAGTACCCGATACATAAGCATTTTATTGTCAAAAACAGCCCATATTTATGTAACAGAAGTATTCTTCTTTCAAATAAATAGCTAAAAATTTACATTTTAACCATTTTGTAAAACTGCTATATTTTGGGGCCAAAAAGGGGTCTTACTGGGCCTACTCCTTTAATCACACTTGGCCACAATCATCATTGGGGTATCTAGTTAAAAAAATGTGTCTGATGACCCCAGCTGCCAACCAACATCGCCCACATGGCTAAAAATAGAACATAGGGGGTAAAATGCAAGCTTTGTCTTTTATTTTGAAAACCATTATGAAGAGAGAAAATCTGACGAGAGCAAAATTGTTCAGATAGTTGAGCTCTACCAATTGTCCCTACATGTCAAAACTGTCAGATGACTTCTTATAGGAGTTATTGCTCTTAAATGACAAATTTTACCATTTTTATACGCCCGTTTACGGGACGTATTATGGTATACTGTTGTCCGTCCTTCCATCTGTCTGTCCGTCCGTCCGTCCGTCTGTCCGTTGTCCAAATGTCGGACATTAACTCAAAAATGCTTTAACCAATTTGCATAAAACTTTGGTGAATTGTTTATATCTATTGACGTGAGCTCCCTTTTGTTTTTTATAAAATTTAGATTTTACGTTTCTGAGTTATGGGATTTTATTCATTAAAAAAAGGGGGATTTTCCAGTTTTCGGACAATAAGTTGAGAATGCTTTCACCAACTTGCCAGAAATTGAGGTGAATTGTTTGTATCTATTGACATGAGCTCCCTTTCGATTTTTATAAATTTTAGATTATACGTTTCCGAGTTACAGGGTTTTATTCATTAAAAATGGGGGATTTTCCAGTTTTCAGACAAAAACTAAAAAATGCTTTCAGCAATTCTTATGAAACTTTGGTGAATTGTTTGTATGTATTGATGTAAGCTCCCATTAGAATTTTATAAATTTTACATTTTACATTTCTGAGTTATGGGGTTTTATTCATTAAAAAAAGGGGTGATTTTCCAGTTTTCGGACAATAACTCAAGAATGCTGTCACCAATTCTCATGAAACTTTGGTGAATTAATTATATCTATTGATGTAAGCTCCCTTTTTATTTTCATAAATTTCTAATATGACATTGAGAATTAATTGAACTTTAATTTGTTTATAGTCTGACAACAGATTTACTAAGTATTGCACAACAGCAAGAAATCTTTAATTATACCCCACGGAATGAGTTGCAGAGGGTATAATGTTTTTGACCCGTCCGTCCGTCTGTCCGTCCGTCCGTCAGTCAGTCAGTCAGTCCGTCAGTCTGTCAGTCCGTCAGTCCTGTTTCTTGTCATCGCAACTCCTCTCAAACCACACAACAGAATTTCACGAAACCTTTTTAGATAAGTAGGACATACTATGTAGTTGTGCATATCGACAGGAAATTACAATTCAATTCTTTTTCTAGGAGTTACGCCCCTTTGAACTTATTTACTTTAATGTACTACTGCAACAGTTTGTCATCGCAACTCCTCTCAAACCACACAACAGAATTTCATACAACCTTTTCAGATAATAAGGACATACTACGTAGATGTGCATATCTACAGGAAATTACGATTCAATTTTTTTTCCAGGAGTTACGCCCCTTTGAACTTATTTGCCCAATATACTACTGCAACCTTTTGTCATCTCAACTCCTCTCAAACCACACAACAGAATTTCATGAAACCTTTTCAGATAATAAGGACATACTATGTAGATGTGCATATCAACAGGAAATTACGATTCAATTTTTTTCCAGGAGTTACGCCCCTTTGAACTTATTTGCCCAATATACTACTGCAACCTTTTTGTCATCGCAACTCCTCTCAAACCACACAACAGAATTTCATGAAACCTTTGCAGATAATAAAGACATACTACGTAGATGTGCATATCGACAGGAAATTACGATTCAATTTTTTTCCCAGGAGTTACGCCCCTTTGAACTTATTTGCCCAATATACTACTGCAACCTTTTTGTCATCGCAACTCCTCTCAAACCACACAACAGAATTTCATGAAACTGTGTAGATAATAAGGACATACTATGTAGATGTGCATATTGATAGGAAATTATGATACAATTTTTTTTTCTGATACAATTTTTTTTTCTTACACTTATTTTATATTTCCAATGACAATGTGGGGACGTGGGGTATGTGAGCGCGCTCACTAAGGTTCTTTCATTGAACATAAATTCAATTCATATAACCAATTTCAAGTTCTTTGAATACATCTATTCAGAAACCTATAATATGTCAAATATTTAATTACAATCCAAATTCAGACCTGAATCAAGCTTGAATATTGTGTCCATTTTTGCCCCAACTGTTCAGGGTTAGACCTCTGCGTGCCTATCTGCGCTCAGCGAAGCAGTTTTTTTTTTTTCGTTTTTGCCTACTATCTTGAAAACTATAATAGATACAGAGAAACTTTAAAATGATCAGCAAGACAAGTTCTACAAATAGGTCATCATGGTCGAAATTGTCAATGGACTCCTTATTAGAGTTATTGCCCTTTGATGATGATTTTGACAAATTTTTTGCGTTTTTGCCTTATATCTCAAAATTATAATAGACAGATAGAAACTTAGCTAGGCAAAAATGATCAGCAAAACAAATTCTACAATGATGACAATATGGAGGAAATGGTCAGACAACTCCTTATTGGAGTTATTGCCCTTTAAGGACGCTTTTCACTTTTTTTTGGCATTTTGCTATATATGATGGAAAATTATAATAGATAGAGATTCACTTTAAATCACAAAAATGATCAGCAAGTCAAGATCTACTAACAAGTCAAATTTTGCCGATTTAGTTTAGTAGATTGTCACTCCTTATAGGAGTGATTGCCCTTAATGAGGATTTTTTTTATCCTCTTTTGTGTTTTGAGCAAAAACTAAAGAAAATAGAGAAAAACTAAATAGGCTTAATTATCAGCCATACAAGATCAACAAAACTGATAATTTTCATGAATTCTATTCCTGTCTACATTGTTGGAGAGTGTCCTTTGTTGAATATGCACATAGACCAAGGTGAGCGACACAGGCTCTTTAGAGCCTCTAGTTTATTAGTTTAATTAAGTGAGGGACTAGTTTACATTAGACAAGTGGTAGGCACTAAAAACTCAATTTTTAAAAGACAAGGGGTAGGCAATAATCAATCAGTTTTCATTAGGCAAGGGGTAGGCAATAATCAATCAGTTTTCATTAGGCAAGTGGTAGGCAATAATCAATCAGTTTTCATTATGCAAGGGGTAGACAATAATCAATCAGTTTTCATTAGGCAAGGGTAGACAATAATCAATCAGTTTTCATTAGGCAAGGGGTAGGCAATAATCAATCAGTTTTATGAGGCAAGGGGTAGGCAATAATCAATCAGTTTTTATTAGGCAAGGGTTAGGCAATAATCAATCAATTTTCATTAGGTAAAGTGGTAGGCAATAACCCATCAGTTTTCATTAGGCAAAGGGTAGGCATTATCACTCAATTTTTAAAAGGCAAGGGGTATGCTATATTCAGTCAGTTTTCATTAGGCAAAGGGTAGGTGAAAGTTACTGGATCTAATGAAGAAAATGAGGGATGAGGTCAGTTAATTTTTATTAGTTTAATTAAGTGAGGGATAAGTTTACATTGGGCAAGTGGTAGGCAATAATAACTCAATTTTTAAAAGACAAGGGGTAGGCAATAATCAATCAGTTTTTATTAGGCAAGGGGTGGCAATAATCAATTCGATTTTATTAGGCAAGGGGTAGGCAATAATCAATCAGTTTTCATTAGGCAAGGGGTAGACAATAATCAATCAGTTTTTATTAGGCAAGGGGTAGGCAATAATCACTCAAGTTTTAAAAGGTAAGGGGTAGGCAATATTCAGTCAGTTTTCATTAGTCAAGAGTAGGTGAACGGTACTGGATCAACTAAAAAAAAATGAGGGATGAGGTCAGTTAATTTTTTATTAGTTTAATTAAGTGGGGACTAGTTTACATTGGGCAAGTGTTAGGCAATAACAATTCAATTTTTAGAAGGCAAGGGGTAGGCAATAATCAATCATTTTTTATTAGGCAAGGGGTAGGCAATAATCAATCAGTTTTTATTAGGCATGAGGTCGGTGAAAGTTACTGGATCAACTGAAGAAAATGAGGGATGAGGTCAGTTAATTTTTAGCTCATCTGGCCCAAAAGGGCCAAGTGAGCTTTTCTCATCACTTGGTGTCCGTTGTCCGTCGTCGTCTGTCATCCTTTAACTTTTACAAAAATATTCTCCTCTGAAACTACTGAGACAAATTAACCAAACTTGGCCACAATCATCATCAGGGTTTTTAGTTTAAAAAATGTGTCAGATGACCCCAGCTGCCAACCAACATGGCCGACATGGCTAAAAATAGAACATAGGGGTAAAATGCAGTTTTCGGCTTATATCTCTGAAACTAAAGCATTTAGAGCAAATCTGACAATGGTTAAAATATTCTTCAGGTTAAGATCTATCTGCCCTGAAATTTTCAGAAGAATCAGACAACCCGTTGTTGGGTTGCTGCCCCTGAATTGGTAATTTTAAGGAAATTCTTCAAGGACCACAAGTAAAAAAAAGATTTTGGGACTCTGATACAACAAGCATATTTAAACTTTGCAGGTGAATTACTTTCAATATTTGAACACAATAATATATTTAATCTTCATTAATTTGAAAATAAATAGAAAAAACTGCTCGTGTCAGTATGATTGATGGCAGGGTGTTTTCAACATCTTGTAGATTTCTTTTTTATAGAAATGATAAATAAGAAAACAATTCATTAGGGAAGACATATTTATGTGTCAATAGTTTATTTATTTTTACAGGCTCCAGAGTTTTATTATCAGTGTTTAGAAAGAAGCTTGAAAATGAACTTGGTAGAAATTCTAACATTCACAGATGCTTTACAACAATTGTAAATACAAGTAGATCTTTAAAAAGTTCCATTACTAATCAGGAAGTAGTGTTAGATGAAAGCATGAATGAGTCCAGATTGAGACAGGAAGTAATGTAAGCAGACAGAGGACAGTGTTTTCTCACGTCCCAGAATATTTCATATGAATTGATCGTGTATTATCTATTCTTCATAAGAAGAGTTTTTTTTTATTTTGAGTTTTGAATGAATTTAATGATAATGTTTTTTAACATCCTGTATAATTGATATTTTTGAATGAGTGTTCCAATATTTTGTAAACCCCTGCTCTCGGGTATTTTGGTTTACTTTTGTCCGTTATTTGTCCCTGCGTCTTTGATCCCATAGCACGTGTTCTGTTGTATTTTTGGCAGAAGCTACAAGTAATATCTTCTTGATATGGTGCAGCAAGTTTCATCTGGTTATCCCATATTGTGCTACCCTGATATTTGACCTTTGACCACTTTAATACAATATGGCAGAAACCAGTTTTTCAATGGCTTGTGTGTTTCGGTCAGAACTTGGAAATCTTTTTACATATACCTTTTTATAATGATATTTGGCATTTGGGTGTATTACAGCAAAAATGAGCAACATATGACGTATTGCTATGTGTTTCTTAATTCTACATTGGCTAGAGGTATAGGGGAGGGTTGAGATCTCACAAAACATGTTTAACCCTGCCACATTTTTGCACCTGTCCCAAGTCAGGAGCCTCTGGCCTTTGTTAGTCTTGCATATTTTTTTAATTTTAGTTCATTTATATGTTTTGAAGTTTAGTGTGACGTCCATTTTCAGAGAACTAGTACACAATATTATTTAGGGGCCAGCTGAGGACCACCTCCAGGTGCGGGATTTTCTCGCTGCGTTGAAGACCCATTGGAGGCCTTCAGCTGTTGTCTGCTCTTTGGTAGGGTTGTTGTCTCTTTGACATATTCCCCATTTCCATTTTCAATTTTATTGACCTTTGACCTCTTAGTCAAATTATTTATTTTATTTTTAACTTGTTAGCTGTGTGTATTTGTTTACATTCTAGTCCTTTGGTACTTGTTGATATTTATACTGGGTGACTGAATTGGCAATCTTACCACATCTCCTTATTTTTATATTAATTATAAAAAGAAGATGTGGTATGATTGCCAATGAGACAACTCTTCACACGAGACCAAATGACACAGAAAGTTTGTCAGGGTAAATATATGGTGTAGTTGGTTGCTGTTTATCATATCTTTTTTTCATTTCTTGTTTTGTACAACAATCAGGGTATTGGTTTTTTTTTTTTAATTGTTTTGTCATTTCATGGCTTTTTATAGCATACTATACGTTATGTGTTCTGCTCATTGTTGAAGGTTGTACAGTGGCCTAAAGCTGCCTACATCTACATGATTTTGTCGCTGTTCAAGAGTTGTTTCATTGGCAATCATACCACATTTTTGTCGAGCCTGCAACTTCTGTTACAGAAAGTGAGACATAGTGATAGTGATCTGGTGGGACGGGGGGGGGGGGGGGGGGGGGGGGGGGGCAGCGGCGGCGTTAACTTTTGTATATAGATGCTTATGTTATGAAGTTTCTGTCTGTCGTATGTCCATTGTCCTTGACCTCATTTTCTTGGTACATTGGTCAATGTTAAGTTTTCCTGGTTAAATTTGTTTCTTAGATACTATATGCAACAGGTCAACTATATTTGATCCATGGAATGATTGTAAGTTGTACATGTCTGTCTGGCAGGGTTCATTTGACCTTGACCTCGTTTTCATGGTTCATTGGTCAATATAAAGTTTTCATGGTTTGGTCTGTTTCTTGTATACTATAATCAATAGGTCAACTAATTTATTCGGTGTATGGACTGATTGTAAGGTGAACATGTATTTCTGGCTTGGTTTATCTGACCTTGACCTCATTTTCTTGGATCATGTTAAGTTTATGTGAAACTTTATATAAGGACTATCAACATAAAATCAATGGTCAGTACAGTAGGCGAGACATTTCAGTGTGTGTGATCTTGTCCCATTTTTATGTTAGTTGTTAAAAAGAATACAAGGAAGTATGTACTCTTATGATACATTACATTTAAGCATACTATGCCTAAAAGGATATAAATGATGTATTACTAAATTTATTATGAATTTATTGTTAAACTATTAACCTTTTAAGAAAATATATATATATATATATAAATCAAACTTACATGATGAGTACTAAGACTTCACTTTGTAACAGATATGATATATGGAAGGTCATTAAATAGGATGGGGAAAAGCTTGAATAAAGTGGTGCACAAGTTCCTAATTAAAACTAAGGGAAATCCTAATCAAGCCTAAGGGAAATCCTAATCAAGACTAAGGGAAATCCTAATAAGGTGTAAGGAAAATCCTAATCAAGCCTAAGGGAAATCCTAATAAGGTGTAAGGAAAATCCTAATAAGGTGTAAGGAAAATCCTAATCAAGACTAAGGGAAATCCTAATAAGGTGTAAGGAAAATCCTAATAAGGTGTAAGGAAAATCCTAATCAAGACTAAGGGAAATCCTAATAAGGTGTAAGGAAAATCCTAATCAAGACTAAGGGAAATCCTAATAAGGTGTAAGGAAAATCCTAATCAAGACTAAGGGAAATCCTAATAAGGTGTAAGGAAATCCTAATCAAGCCTAAGGGAAATCCTAATCAAACATAGGGGAAATCAGTGGCGGATCCAGAACTTTTCATAAGGGGGGACCGCTGACTGACCTAAGGGGGGACCGCTCCAGTCATGCTTCAGTGATTCCCTATATAATCAACCAAATTTTTCGCACGAAAGGGGGGGGGCCCGGGCCCCCCAGGGCCCCCCCCCTGGATCTGCCTATGGAAATCCTATTCAAGCTTAAGGAAAATTGTAATCAAGCCTAAGGGAAATACTAATCAGGCCTAAGGTAAATCATTTTTTGTGATCTTCTCTTTACAAAAACTTTTAGTTTTTAGATTTCTCTAGGAAACTCAAAAGCATAGTGCTTTGTAATGTATAGGAGACTTAGTCAGTGATTTGGAATGAATCCCAATACAATGTGTTAGGACAGCAGGAATGAAGATTATTGGGTACATGATCAGATGATCCTCAAGTATTTTGGTTTGTTTTTAGAATGACTTAATTTACATGTGATATTTAATTTATTTATAATATGTGTTTACTTTTTATGTATATGATATAGATGTGATATTTAATTTATTAAGTGTGTTTTTACAAGATCTAAGCAGTGTAGACATTCTCCAGTATATATTTTGTTTTTATGTATTATTCAGGGTTGTTATTATCTTATGTACATATGTTGCATAATATTGAGATCTATAGATGCCAATAAGACTTCATCAAGGGCATTAATTCTTTGTATAAAGATTGATATGAGAATCTGGATTAACCAAATACCGCTGTTGTATTTGATCTCATTTTCATGGTTGGATGACTTCATAGATACTCAAGAGATTTTCTTTAATTAATATTAGCCTTCGGTCAATTATGTTTTTTTAAAACTCAATGTGAAGAGTATGGTCAGTCTGACAGGTGACACATTACCTTGACCTTATTTCTAATTAATCAATATTCTTTTTTTTTGTGATAGTTTAACTTTAATATTCACTGTTTAGCATCACCATCACATATAAGTACCCCTGAATCAGTGGATAAAAACAAAGTGAAGTCAGGTAACGTCAAATTCTTCTAACATTTATTATATTCTACGTGTTGTTGACAAGTAAAGTTTGGTGATAGTCATTCCTAATAATGTAGCTCCTATTTAGGGCTGATTATGATCCTTTATTGGCTTTCTCTCGCTTGAAATCGTCAGAATTGGAATGGTTGGTACTTGTTCAAAGAGGCATGTGACAAGTTTAAAATTTGTTAAAAACACATTTATCCTTGAACCATTCATTTGACGTTTTCTTAGAAGTTATGTTAATATTTAAGCATGATCAACAGTGTATTTAGAAATAAATTATTGTTTTCACAGAGAAATTCATGTAAATAAAGTGGATAACTTGTATGACGAATAGTTATATAATGTACGGGAAATAGAATAGATACTTTTTGCTATCATTGTTTCTTTGCTTTTGGGGTACCTTTATCCATTGGTGATGTTACACAGTAATATTTGGTCTATAGAATCGTTATCAGGAGTACATATCCATCTCACCAGGTACACTTGACCTTGACCTTATTTTCATGTATAAGTTATTATGATACTGTAAGAAAGAACTTGATTTCTGAGGATTTCCACATATTATTTATGAGGGTCTGGATGGGGTTTACAGAATAAAGAATTAATGGGCAAAAAAAATAAAGAATAGAGAATAATGTGCGAAATAAACAAAGAATAGAGAATAATGCGCTAAAAAAACAACAAATACAGAGTAATGTGTGAAATAAACAAGGAATAGAGAAAAATGATAAAAAAAAAGAAAGAATAGAGAATAATGTGCCAAATAAACGAAGAATAGAGAATAAATGTGCGAAATAAAACAAAGAATAGAAAATAATGTACGAAATAAACAAAGAATAGAGAATAGTGTGGGAAATAAACAAAGAATAGAGAATAATGGCAAAAAAAATAAAGAATAGATAATTGATGGACCCCCTCTTAGACCCTCATTTATGATTAATTATGGTACCAGTGGGTCCACACTTATTATCAAGTTAACGTGTCACTTAAGAGTTTTTTTATCAGAAATTTTGTCATTGATATAATGCTCATTTTTTACAGTACAACAAATATAATTTTAATATTTTAAACTTTTTGCACTCGTATGTGGTATGATGTCATCTTTCTCATTTTTCTGCAAACAGAATTTTTTACGCCACAAAGATTTACAAATCAAGAAGGTTTGGGGTTACAAATTGGGTTTACAAATCAAGAGGCTCAAAAATGCCAACATTAGCTAATTTCAGGGGAAAATCTTTTCAAACAATTATCAGTGTGTTGGTGGACAGCAAGCTATACAACAAAACAGTAGGATAGCTTTTGTTGTCTTGCTTTGTCCTTCACGGTGTGTTGGTGGACAGCAAGCTATACAACAACACAGTAGGATAGCTTTTGTTGTCTTGCTTTGTCCTTCATGGTGTGTTGGTGGACAGCAAAGCTCTTCAACAAAACAGTAGGATAGCTTTTGTTGTCTTGCTTTGTCCTTCCCAATGTGTTGGTGGACAGCAAAGCTATACAACAAAACAGTAGGATAGCTTTTGTTGTCTTGCTTTGTCCTTCCCAATGTGTTGGTGGACAGCAAAGCTCTACAACAAAACAGTAGGATAGCTTTTGTTGTCTTGCTTTGACCTTCCCAATGTGGTGTTTGTGTTACAGTTTGTTAATTCCCTATTCCTTGAAAATTATTTGACAGAATTTAGCCAAACTTGTACAATGTTTTACAGGACAGGGGATTTGGTGGCAGTCTACAGTGATCACTAGCATGTCACTATGGTAATCAGTTCAAGCCCTGCTTTTTGATAAATTTTCATTGATAAGAATAGCTAATTTTCCTTCTTTTTTGTTTGAGATGACAGGGGACACACCTCCTCCTTGTAAGATTCTTATTTTTTTAACTATTATTTATGAGGGTCTGGATGGGGATTACAGAATAAAGAATAATGTTCAAAATGTACAGAATAACAAAAGGGGAAAAATATAAAATAGAGAAAATTGGGCAAAAATAATATAGAATAGAGAATTATGGGCAAAAGAAATAAAGAATAGAGAAAATTGGCCTAAAAAATTAAAGAATAAAGAAATAAATAATTCCCATCCAGACCCTCTTTTATTGACCATTATAATCCTGATTTTTATTAATACATTATATATCTTATATTTGGTTAAACTTAAATTTTAATTTGATATCCTGGATAGTTTGGATTATTTAACATGTTTAAGTCATTGGGTTGCTGTCTCATAGCTAGGCCGATACCTCATATCTCCCTTTATTTGAATTTATTTAGAAAAAAAAAAAGTCGTCAAGCGGCTTTTAAATTTGACAATTCATCAGTTCATAATTAGCATTAAATATCGATACATGACATGTATAAGATGAACGATGTTTTTACAACTAAATTTCGATTTTTTTTTAAGTAGTGAAAACAAAGCATGATGAAGTGATGATCACAGGTACAATGTCATTATCTGTCTTGGACTTAGACGTTAATTTATAAGTCAAATTAAGTCTGTCTGTACTTAACAAGGTTAAGCTATTTTAGGAAAAGATTTGTTTACTTTCATTATCTATACAGACAAAAAAAAAAACAGTCTTTTGATCTTAGTGAAAACAGTTTAC